CTCTGTGTCAGGGAAGCACTGCCATGTGTCATTTAGAAAAAAAAAGATAAGGCGGTGGCAAGGCACAGGCTACACTTAGGGGACAAGACAGGCAGGGGTGAGTCAGGGCACACACTCACATATATATAATGTACTTCTTAAAGCCATCAGCTTGGAACCTGTACTTATAGTTACTTGGGACTAGGTAACAAGAGAGGATGTTCTTAAGAACATCAAAGAGGCCAGGAAGAGGGGGTGTACGCCTTTAATCCCAGCACTGGGGAGGCAGAGGCAGTAGGATCTCTGTGAGTTCCAGGCCAGCCTGGTCTACAAAGCAAGTTCCAGGACAGCCAATGAGAAACCCTGTCTCAAAAACAAAACAAAAAAAAAAAACTCAAAGAGTAAGACTACAAGAAAGAAGTTATCAGCCAAAACCCAACAGACGAGCATGCAGGGATATAAGCACAGCATCTGGTGCCGTGTTTGTTCTACAGGCATGTGCACTCCAGGTGCAAAGTAACACTAGGGATGTAGTTTACTCCTTTAGGAGTACTGAGCAATTGAAAAATACAGCCATAAAGGTGAAAGATCATCCCAAGAGAGGACATAGAGAAACCTCCTCCATGGGGTGGGGAGGCCATGAAGGAGCACACCCTCAAGGGCAGAGTGATGAACAAGAGAATCAGCCCCTGGCTGGACTGCAGATGGGTTCAGTACCCCTCCGAAGCCCAAGTAGCTTCACTTTCAACTGGTTACGCTTAGTGCCACAAAATACTATTACACATGAGCATACAGCAAAAACAAAACAATGACAAATCTCTGTAAGAAAAGATCCATCGCTTAAGACTTCAATGAACTGCTAAAAAGAATTCACAAAAAAATAATAATAACCAATATACTGGGGCTGGAGAGATGACTCAGTAGTCAAGAGCATTGTTGCTGTCACAGAGAATCTAGGTTCAGTTTCTAATACCTACATCATTTCTCACAACCATTGGTAACTCCAGTTGCAGGGGATCCAACAGCAGGCATGTACATAGTGCACCTACCTGAATGCATGTACAACATTCATATACATAAAATTAAATAAATAAATAAATATTTAAATAAGCAGCATGCAGTCAGAGATTTAAAAAAAGGCATACGAGCCTCTACACAGCACGTGAACAGCGTCAACAAGCAGACTGCACAGTCACAGGGTTTCAGAAATGGAAACTGTCACACATACCATAAGACAACTAAGCTGACTGTGTTTAAAAAAAATAAATTGTTGAATAAGAGATGAGAAAAGAGAGTAAGCACTGAACTGCATTTTTAAAGAATCAAATCTTGATGTGTAAACAGCAGAAACTATAAACTAGCGGGTGAATGATGCATTCAGTACAGCACAAGAAAACAGACGGCAGGCCAAGGGCCTCTGTGCGAGATGACAATTTATCAAAGACAGGATAGGGATGAAATGGCCTCAATTAAATGTTCAGAAGAAAGAGATTAAGCCAGACATAGCAATAGAGATTTTTCAAAAACTGTTGCGAGGCATTAAGCCGCAGACTCAGGAAGTCCTATGAATTCCATGTACATATATATGTATACATGCACTGAAGAAAAAGAAGAAAATAATCAATTGTTTAAAATTTTTACTTTTAATATTTTAAGCAGTATTAGCAAGATGGCCCAGCAGGTAAGAGTGTCTGCCTTGTGTCTTAGCTAGGATTTACTATTGCTGTGAGGAGGTTGAGGGGGCTCACTTACAGTTCAGGGGTTCAGTCCATCCTGGTGTGGAGCATGGTGGTGTGCAGGCAAGCACAGTGCTAGAGAAATAGCTGAGTGTCCTGTAGGTTGCAGGCAACAGGATGTTGCCTGAAACCCTGGGTGGGATCCTAAGCATAGGAAATCTCAAAGCCCGCCCCCCACAGTGACACTTCCTCCAACAAAGCCATCTATCTGTCTCCTAATAGTGTCACTCCCTATGAGGTTATGGAGTTATGGGGTTATGGGGGCCAATTACATTCAAAGTTCACACCTCGCAAGCCTGGTGACCTGACTTGGACAAATCAAAGCTGTCTGTTGTGGGACAAAGTTTCTAACAAAAGCTTAGAGGTACACACAGCTCTCAAACCACAGTAGAAATATAAAGTTAAATACTAAGCATTGGAAATCCAAGAAGAGAAAAACTATGGGGGTAAGAAAAACAGAAACATTGAAACAGACTAAATTTAAGTCCAAATATATCAAAAACAAGTCCAGCTATATGGAGCAGGGCCAGAAGTTCACTTGAGGCTGGAGTTCAAGGCCAATCTGTTTAAAAAAAAAAAAAAAAAGGTGGTACAAATACCTAAGAGTTCATAATGTTGTCTAAGCCTAGACAAAATGATAGAATTTGCCTTTAAAAATTATAAACTGCTTATGGAGATGCATGTAAAATGTATTCAGAGACAGATCAAGAGTGAAAGAATAAAGAAAGATAAAGAGCTCTTGAGAAAACCACCCTGAATTCAAACCCTTAGCTCCCCGTCACTAGGGAAGGACAGAACTGTAGCAGGAATCTTAGGGAATCTTATTGATAAGACAAACCTAGAGCTGGGTATCCAGGTGAGTGCTGGAAGATCAGAGAATCAGAACAAGCCACAGACACCTCACCTCACCAGTTCCTCAGCTGGTCCTGTTTCCTCAGACTGGAAGCTTCTGTGTCCTCATCCCAATGGCTCTCAGCTGAACTGCTGCTCAAAAACCAGAAGCTTAACCAGCTAAATGCTTCTAGTTCCTGGTTTTCACGCCTTAAATATCTTTCTGTTTTCTGCCATCACTCCCTGGGATTTAAAGGCTCACGTCTTGGGATTAAAGGAGTGTGTCACCATGCCTGGCTGGTGGCCTTGAACTCAGAGATCCAGAGGGATCTCTGCCTCTGGAATGCTAGGATTAAAGGCGTGTGCTACCACTGCCTATCCTCTATGTTTAATATTGTGGCTGTTCTGTCTCTGACCCCAGGTAAGTTTATTAGGGTGCACAATATTTTGGGGAACACAATACCACCACAGAGCCACTAAGAAAACCCACCTCAAGCATCCAACACCACAGGGACTGGTTAAAACCAAGCACAGGAAGCATCTCTCTTGCAATCACTCCCATGTCACAGGAAGGAAGTGCCAAGTGCTGGGGACAGGTATGACCAGGAAGACAGCACACTGAAGCAAATGACAGCTAAAGCTAAGCATGGAAAGGCAGCAAAGAAAGTGCTTGGGCACCCTGGTGACAGATAAAGGGCCATCAGAGCAACAGAAACATTAAAGCCCTACTCAACTGCCACACACACACACACACACACACACACACACACACACACACACACAAAACCATCCCCACTAAAGGCCTAATGGAAGCAGAGTGGACTATGTAATGGCAGGCACGGTATGATTTACATTGTCTCTATTATTAAAGGTGGCATTTCACAATCCAGAACACCCATCCATCCCAGTCTCATGAAACCACAACATATTTTCTGCTTCGGCAGACCAAATGTGTTTTATAAATAGTGCACCAGAGTGAACAGAATTCCCTCCAAATTCATGTCCATCCAGAATCTGTGAATATGACCTTATTTGGAAAGAGTAGTAGCAGATATAATCAAGTTAAGGTTATACTAGAGAGGAAGGAATGACCCCAAAATCTGATGGCTATTATCCTTTTAGAAAGAGGTAACTTTGGACATGGGAATACTGAAGGAGAAAGCCAGGTGACAGCTGAGCCAGAGAATAGAGCTGTGCTGTCACAAAGCAAAGAACAATGGGCTAACAGATTCTTGCTCAGCTTCAAGATGGAACAGACTCTGCTGACAGCCTGACCTCAGACTCTGGTCCAGTTTATAATTTCACTAAATGAGTAAAATGGGAAACAAATTAAGTATCTACAGAAGCTAAATAGATAAACTTTAAACTGGCATTTTTCTCAAAGCAGTGAGTGTCAGATGAAGTAACATGAAACTCCCTGTTTTAACTGCACAAACATCGAAGAATAAATACTGTATGACCCATTAACAAAAGTTAAAAACAAAAAATAGCTAGTAAAACTAGTATGGCAACACAGGACAATGTTCAAGATTCCACCAGAACAGGAGACAGTCCAGCGATGGAGGGAGATGGAACAAGATGGGCAAAAAATGCTGGCAATTTGCACCACTAGACCCAGCTGGTGCTTATATGGTTCTGCTTCATAATAATTCATTCAACAATAGGCTTGTATTCTGTCTACTTTTACACATATATTTCACCATTCAAGTAAAGAGGGGGAAATGAAAGAAAATAAAGCCACATGTTACAGCAGTGGTAACCTCCGAGATCATAGCTAGAACTCAAGAAGTCACAAATCAGGATGGCCACTGGATTTTTCCTAACTGGGGCAACGGAGGCAGTTCCCTGGAAACTTGGGTGTCACTGCAATTTGAAGAGTTATTCCCAGAAGTTCACATTATATCCCTTTCCTCTACCTCGCTGGAAGATTTTGTAAGCATGTATCTCTTTCTGTTATAGCATCCAGCTTCTCTGAACAGCACACAAGTCCTGACAAGTATAGCTCATCCTAAAGAGATCAAGCAAACTAAAAGAGATCTCCCACATGAAGTATCAAGTATCAGGAATAATAACTGAGTAGGAGGCGAAACATCAGCCTTTAAGTTTATAGAGTGAGGGGCTGGAGGACCCAGATTTGATTTTTCAGCACCCACATGGCAGCTCACAACCTTCTGTAACTCCAGTCCCAGGGAATCTGACTCCCTCTCCTGGCCTCTCAGGGCATTGCATGCATGTGGTGCACATACACATATACAGGCCAACACTCACACACATACAATTTTTTCAATTAAGTCAGGGGGCTGCTTAATCTCCTTAGCAGGTGTCTCAGCACAAGTACAGAAAGAAAACATTTAAGTTTATGGCACTGATTTTTAAATTTTATTACAAACCAAAACAAGAAAAAGAATGAGGAGGGGCACAGAGCATGGAGAGAAAGAAAACAGGTGTTGTTACCTGGAGTCTTGTGTTCATTTCCAAGAAATAAAAATTCTTCTGGGAGTCCACGAGAAATTCCACAGTTCCAGCAGAGGAATACTGCACAGCTTTAGCCAAAGCCACAGCCTGTTCTCCCATTGCTCGGCGAGTCTCATGATCCAGAAAAATGCTACAAATAGACAAAGCACTCGGAGTAAGGCCTCCAGTAATCTTTTATGGGCTTACATAAAACTGCTATGTAGATCCTTTTGTACCAGTTTAGGAGCTGATCGTGTTTCATAGCACACACTGTGTCATGTATGACATGCTTCACCAATCCAACATCAAATTTTTATGGAACATTTAATCCTTTCACATTTCCCTACAACTTCATTTCTAAAATGAACTAACCAACCTTTACCTAGTAAAACTGAACATATATATTAGGAGTTGCTTCAAGCTAAAAGTAGATGGAAATAACTATGGAAATGGACATATACTATCTCCATTCTTCACAGATTCTGTACGTGCAAACTTGCCTACCTACAATAACTTATATACCCTTAAAATCACAGATGTGCAGCACCTTTATGCACACATGAACAAGCAGAGAGAAGAAAACTGTCAAAAGCTGAGGATGAACAAATATGCTCTGTCTTCCTATTCTAGGACTTATATTTAACCACTGTCATCCCCAAGGAGAGAGAGAAAGAGAAAGGGGGCAATTCACTGCTTGAGAGATCTTTGACTTTCATGCTTAAGTGCTATTGGGCTCCTAAGAGCATGATGGCCATGAAATGTCTCATGGAGGAAGCCTACATGTGAGGTAAGCCTAGAAATAAATATATTGCAGTCTTGCACTACTGTTAAATAAGGTGCTCTTCAACCTGAACATAGAGAAAACAAGGTTCTACACTGACCAAGTATGTAAGTCATATTTGCATGTTATGTGAAAATGCTATGGCCTGAGGCTCAAGGAGCCCAAACCTGTATTTTCCCTAGGAAAAACAGCTTGGTATTTGCTAATTCAGTGTCCACAATGCCTTTCTGCATCGAATAAACCTCTAATGCCTGTCGTTCTCCACAGGCAGTTCAAGATAAATGTTTTCAACAAACATTGTAAATGCTTGTTTAAAAATTGTTTAAATGAAGGTGTGTGTGTGTGTGTGTGTGTGTGTGTGTGTGTGTGTGTGTGTGTATTTGTTTGATAGAGAGAGAATGTCAAATAACCAGTACTTTTAGATCCTGGTTCTACACAAGAGATCAACATTAACTACATTTCTATTTGCAGGTTGATGCAATCCTTCAATAACATCTGTTAGACATGCTGTATAATATTCATGATGGGATGGGATGCTCAACTTGTATGCGCCTTTCTTTGGTACATAATCATTTATACAGAGCCACACTTTGCTTACCTATGTTACACACCCACTTTCCTACCCGACTCACTGGTTTTTGTTTGTCTGGGGAATTTGGGGTTGTTTGTTTAAGTAAAGTTGAAGCTAGGGACTGCTTCATCAAAAGAAACTCCCATCTCTTTATGCTTGCAACTAATTTTTTGTAACACAAAAACTCCTTAATAGCCTGTCAGTGTTTAATTAGTAGTCAGTCAGTATTCCAAATTTCTGACTACCTTGTAAATATCATTATAAAGACTAGTTTTCTTTGAATCAAGATACAAATAAGGACTAGAATGTATTTGGCTGATTTTTTTTTAACATTTTAAGATGCTTTTAATCTGTTGTCCCACCTCTCATTTTTTGGCCAAAGAGTTGGGCACTTTCCTGTCTCATTCCTTAAGTTGAAGGCTGAGCTGCATGCAACCCTACAGTGTCTTTTAACACTAGTATTATATTTCAATTCCATATAAACTGACAGTGTAAAGCCTTCAATAGTCATCTGGATTGCCATAGGGACAAAGCCTACCTTATTAGTAAATGGAAAGTGTACTCTATCCTCCCCTGAGGGTGATATTGGGATTACTTGGTGGCTTCAGGCATTAAGGTCTTTCTTATTATAAATATAGTTCTGCAGTGCCCTAATAAATAAAGGCATAGAGAAACCTGGAAAACAACCACCAACAACACTACTCAATTTTGCCCTTTCTGGTCTTATCCTCTCCTATACCATAAACCTTGCCTAGTAGCAGCACAGTTTCTATGTACTCAATTGGCAATGCAGTCACAGGACAGAGAATCAAGGGAGGTGATGTAGACCCTCCCCCCAACACTAAATGACAGCAATGTCAAAGGATTAACATATCATGTTTTTTTTGTTGTTGTTGTTGTTGTTGTTGTTTTCCTCGAGACACGGTTTCTCTGTGTAGTTTTGGTACCAGTCCTGGACCTCACTCTGTAGACCAGGGTAGCCTCAAACTCACAGAGATCCACCTGCCTCTGGCTCCCAAGTGCTGGAATTAAAGGCATGCGCCACCACCGTCCAACTAACATACCATATTTTAAGAACACCATACTACCTCATATTTTTAACTAATGTATCTAAAATAGGTATTAATTTTACATTGTGATTTAAAATTGACCCATAGTCATATATACTCTTTTGAGATACTATACACGTTCTATAAAGGCATGTTGGCTTTGCACATTACAATTACAATTAGATATATATTTTAGTGCTTGGCAATTCAAAACAACCACATACATTCAACTGGGTATTGTTTTTTAGTTTTGGAGGGGTTGCCTAATTTTGATTTGTGAGACAAGGTCTTGCAATGTACCCTTTGGCAGTCCTGGTACTCACTATGTAGCACAGGCTGCCTTGAATTCACGGTGAACTTCCTGCTTCTACCTCTGAGATGCTAAGGTTATAAGGATGCTTCACCATGCCTAGCTTCAATTGGGAATATTTTTCATTTTTCTTTTTGGTTTTTTTGAGACAAAGGTCTCACTATGTAGCTTTAGGTAGCCTACAACTCCCTATGTAGACCAGGCTGACCTCAAATTCATAGATCCACCTGCCTCTGTCTCCCAGGTACTGCCACCATATTCAATGTTAACTGGGGATTTTAAGAAAAAAGAGAATACCAGGATATACATAAATACCAACCTAGTATTAACTGAAAAATGAAAGTCCATGAAACAGCCTCACAAAACCTCCTGCAGCTGCCGGGAGCCACCAGAGGAGCTCTAGAGAGTCAGGGGATTTTCAAGAACTGTGTCTAGAAGTACTTCCGCAGCAGGGAGACACAGGACCAGCCTTATTAATGTGTCTGTCACAAAGCCCATCTATTCCAGGCATCCCGGGGACACTGGCAGGTTCTGCACAACCCCAAAGCCTAAACAAGCCACAGTTGCTATCTATCCAACTCTCTCTTCTAACAAAAACCTACTTCTTTTTCAAGTGTTTTCTCATGGACTAAAGTACTGAGGGAAATTAGGTAACAGATTACAAATCATTAATATAGAAATAGCCATTCAAGTTTATATTAAGGTAATTTTAGCAAATAAAAAAAAATGTAATCCAGAAAATCCTTAAAAGCATTATAGGTGCTCTCTGAGGTGACTCTTACCTTGGTGCTTCCTCTACCACCTTCTGGTTTCTTCTCTGGATTGAGCATTCCCTCTCATTGAGCCACAGAGCATTGCCGTGCTTATCACCTAAAACCTGAGAGAGGTAACACTTGAGAAACCCCCAGTGAGGGTGTACCTGTTAATGCTTCCCCATATAACTCCTCTTGATTTTTAATATCAAGACCTCAGAGAATACACATAGCTCTCAAAACACATATTAGGTTGACAGAAGACAAGTATATTTACAATTTTAGAAAACAATAAAATATTACAAGCAAAAATATCTGAGGAGAAAGATTCTCATGTTGCATTTCAAGCACACAGACAGGCATATGAGTGTCACTTAATAATGGCTAAAAGGTCAGGAGCCACTGTGAAAGCAAGGAAATATCAGTGCTGCCAGGGCCATGTCTTCTGGTCACTAATGGAGTGGTGACACCATCACTACCCAAGCCTGTCTGCTGTTCTTATCAAATGTCTGTTAGAAAGTGGTAGTTTATGAATCTATCGCCAATACATTGTTGTTTGTATGTGGATAACTTTACCATGGCTTATTTTGTTAGAGGGAACTAGAAAAAAATGGCTGGGAGCTAGTCCACAATACACCATGATGCTCTCCATTTGTGATAAGAAGAAATGAACTAGGGCTACCGGAGAAAACACGACACTCAGCTGGAGATGAATCATTCAGAGTTGTTCCAATATTTCTGAACACATGTTTTAGGGTCACAGACTTGTTTTAAGAGCTCTGAGTCACTAATTTTAACACCAAGCAGCTATCTATCCAGCCTCCCTGCAAGGCATTCTGTTATTCTGTTTTTCCATGCATTACAGAGAGCCAATAGAAGTAGCATCTTTATGTTTATATGGCTGGTGAAAAAATCATACTTATGACAGGCATAGTTAGTGATAAAATAAATAACAAATGTATGGCTGAAACATTTTCTGGGAATAAAGCCTTTCTAAGCTCAAAAATCATTTCAAGTAATAAAGGAAAATTTTAGAGTCATCGGATGCCAGTAGATTGGCATTTTACTTCTAAGACTCCAAGGTAGCTGCATGAGGTACATCTAAAAATATTTTAATCCCTCAAAATAACTCTCAACCTCTTTATTTAAACTCTTGTTGGCAAGGAAGTAAAAGTACATTTAGTCTCCAAGAAATAAAGCCAAAATAACTAAGAATCTGAAAAAGCACTTGAAACTGTTAAAAAAAAAAAAAGACTCAAATACAGAATCGAGTGTTTGTTTTCTCTAATTCTATATAGTCTCCTTGATTGCTCTAAAAAGTGTAAGGAATTTGGCACACAAGTGGTGCACACAGACATATGTGCTGGCAAAATATCCACACATACAAAATCAAAATTAAAAGCTCGGGGAATTTATCAAGCATTTTTAAAAAACACGTAATGATATACACTGGGAAACATGAATAAAACACACTTATAAGGGAAAGATGATTCTTACCCTTGAGAGTTATTTTATTTTGACTATAACCCTTTATAGATACATGTGCTGAATGGGATAGAGTCACACCACTAGTTCCTCAAGAGGCTTCATGATAATGCATGCCCTTGAGGATCCCTGAACCCAGCCTGGGGAATGACAGTGGTTCTCTAGTTAAGAATCATGGCCGTGAGGATATAAAACAGAGCAGTTATTTACATTGCCAGTGTACACCTGAGAAAGGACACAGGATAGAACAGCTTGTATGAAAATTAACAGGTGATTGACATGCACAGATACACTTCCCAGACTGTGGGGAGACATTCAAGAAATGGATAACATCATCTAAGGGCAGAACACAGAGTTCCAGGAGACAGGAAAAATGGACTTGATTTCTGTGAACTACCCTTATTACACAACACTGTCCTGTGAGTCAAACTGCTGTCTGTCTGCAGGAAACTGTCACTACAGCTGTGCTTGTTCACTGCTGATGTTCCCTCATAGAACAAGGGGCTAGAGAGGGTCACTGAACCCTCGCCTGACATTCCAGCCATCCTTCCCAGCTACTTGTATATAATTCTGCTCTAATTACATGTGGCTTTGGGTCTTGGGAGGGTCTAGAGTATACAGGCTGGAAAAGACAAAACAGAAGGGGGCCCCATCTGCACCATCATGGGGAAGCCATCATCCATGCTAGATGTAGACCTTGCAATGTGGCCACTTTAGGGTCACCCACACTCCTGCCAATAACCCCTCACTCATGCTCTATAAGTAAACCTAATAAATTGACTGATTTCCCAGGGGAATCTCTGGTTTGTCACTGGGTCTTTATGAGGCAGGGTAAACAGATACTACTTGGTCCCCACTGGAGATAGAATTGTTAAAACAGCCCTATATACATAAACTATCTAATACAAATAAGCTCACAAAAACTGAAAAGTGAATAGTTTTTAAAAACCTAAGACAGCCGGGTGGTGGTGCACGCCTTTAATCCCAGCACTCGGGAGGCAGAAGCAGGCGGATC